CAACTGCGGCCTGACCAAAGTCGCATAGAGGGGGAGTATCACCTCTCTGGACTGGCTTGAGATGCACCTTTGGATGCATGACAAGGTATGGCTGCCCTTGCTGGCTGCAGTCTGGCATGGTGGCTCATGTTCATTTTGGACGTTGAATTTAAATAGCCTTTTGCATCCCCAGGAGTAGAGGGCTTGAGTGGCAGAATGCTGCACTCCTATGGAAATGGACCATACAGAAGGGCTGCAGTCTGTTCTAAAACTGCTGATTCCTTATCAATTTAAACAAATATAGACCAGGGGGAAATCAGTGCTTTGTGCTGGTTTAACAGAGAGAGAGCATAATGCTGCAGGAGTGAGCCATTGCTGTTGGCACAGTGCCATTACCTCCACCTCACAAAGTTTATTGCATCTGCCTCAAAAACAACAGAGCCACTCTTACTCCTTTCTCATGAATTATTCCCTCTGGTTTGTCAGTGTTTCTGACACTGAAGTCCCTAGGACGTAGTACAAAATTTTAGGTCTGCTCTTGCCTGTGTGATTGGAAAAGAACTGATGCTTTGGGGTTTTATTGCCAGAACACATTAGGCTTCTCTGTAGTTCGCTATTTACTATCCAGCACTGTTTCAGTAAAACTCTTTTCCAGGCATTTGCCCTCTCGCCTGAGTCTTGAGTTTTTTAGTTTGCAGCTTTTCTGGTTAAATATTGATTTTTCTGAGTGTGCATGTGGTTTTACTCTCTGAACTAGGTGCTGCTGAAAGCTGGATTTACAGTCTTGAAAACAGAAGTCAGTTCCTTACATGTATCATGAATAATGATGTGCTACCCTCTGCCATGGCAGTACCCCACAGATGGATTAAAAGGACCATCAAGGAGTGGAAAGATAGTTTCTCTGCCTATCCAGTCCTGTTCACTTTAGGATTGCTCCCAGGTAGGTATTGCGCTGTGGCTGTCTGACGGGAACTAGCAGTCCATCCTTGCCCCTTTGCACTACTCAGATGTCATCACCTGTGAGCTTAACTCTTACGCTACAGTCTACTTATTCTCGTCATCTTTTTCATGCCCTTGGACTGAAAGCTACCCATAGGATCATAGAAAATTCGGGTTGGAAAGGACCTCATTAGGTCATCTAGTCCAACCCCCACTTTCAAGCCAGCTGAAATTGATTTGTCATGAAAGGCTTTGTAAAGAAATTAGTGGCCACAAAAATGGGTTTGCCCTCAGTTTTCAATAGAATTAATAACCATGCTCGAAATGTGCTTCTAAAACGGCTGTACACATATTGGAAAGTGAGCAGATACTGTATTTGTAAAGTGGCTGGAGAGCCAGATAGTGACCATACTTGGTATGATGATTACACATACTGAAAATATGTTGGTTTTTTTCAGGTTGGAAAAAAAGGAAGTAGTGAAATGCACTTCATCTTCAGCCTGAGAAATATTTGAGCCATTATTTAAGGGAAAAAATATTTCCTGCTTTTACGTACTTTTTTTTTTTAGTGCAATGAAAATGGAACTGGAGCGTGCGTGATACCACTAATACACAACCAACCATGGAAAAAGATGGCATTTATTTAAATAAAATTTTGAAGTCTAACTGAAAGCTCAACTTTTGGTTTAAGGTGGAGGAGGGGATGTATTATTAACAGGGGTCTGGGTTTTCAGTTCACCACAGAAAAATGTGATAAAACAGATTTTCTCATTTTAAGGAGAAAAACATGGATTTTTCTCCTTTAAAAGAGAGAAATGCAGGAAATGGGGGTTCCCCCTTGCAGGCTGGCAGAGATCTAGCCTGCAAGGGGGAGCAGGAGGAGGGAAGCCAGGCAGGGGGTGCCATGTGCATCCAGCAGCATGGAGAGCAGGTCCCACAGGTAAGTCTGGTGGGGCTGGAGGGGAATTGAAGCCCCCATAGTGAGGGAGGGAGCTGAGCAGTGTGTGGGGGCTTGGGGCCATGCATGGTCACAGAGTCTGGGCGAGGAACAGAACAGGGCTGCGGGTTGGGTGGGGGGGGGGGGGGGTGTGTCCATGCTTCTGCATGCACTCCCAGCAGGGAGCATATACCTCCCAGATCTGCATGGGGTGGGTATGGGCTGCCCTACTGCCCTTCCCCTGGGGCCTCTGCAGCCCAGCGAGCAGGACCTGGCACAGCAGGGCAGAGCAGGGTGGGAAGGCTTGTGAGACTGCTGGGAGTCCCTCACTGCTAGAGTCATCCCCTGCCTGCCAGCAGCTATAGGGGCAGCAGCATGTTGTACCCCTTGCTGCTGCCGGGTAGCCAGGGGGCACGTCACCATGGCAGTGCAGGGCTCCTGGTGGCAGCATGAAGTTCCCTGCTCTGCCCTGCCACACTGGGTCCTGCCTGCTGGGCTGCGGAGACCTGGGGGGCAGCAGGGGGGACAGCCTGAGCCTGCAGTGGGCAACCTGCCCCCCACTTGTGGGGGAGGGAAAGCCAGGTTCTGCTCTGCTGCAGGAACTGGCACCTCCTGTGGGTGGCAACTGGGGTTTGGGCACTGCTGCGGGTGTGCAGTGAGCTGTAGACGGGGATCCCTGGCCCCATAGCCCTGGCAGGGCAGGAGTGAGGGGCACCAGCAGGTCTGGGGGTTGAGAGAGAGGCAATGGCATGGGCATGGCACCAGCATGTCATGGCTGCTCAGTGCCACAAAGCAGTTGGGGGGGGCAGAAGGAGGGGGATGGAAAGACAGCTGCATTTGGACTGGCGTTTTGGTGAGCGAAGGGGGTAGAGAGAGCTCTGGTTTTCCATGATAAAAAACCCCCCAAGATCAAATACCAAAGCTTATAGGTATTTAGAATGTATTTTATTATAGTGATTGAGGCCCTGGTAGTCTTCCAAATTGCTTTAAAATTGTAAATATATCAATAAAATGTTGTGTTCAGCTGATACCTATATAGTGGTGTTTCATTTTAATCGTGGATTAAAGAATGAATGATGGCTACATAAGACAAGACAGTCCAGTTTTCAGATCAGGAAAAGGAGTTGGTTTCATAGTGTGGCAAAATTTAAGTTGCGATAAAGAAATCATATCAGTAGGCAGTGGCAGAAGTTTCTGCTCTGTTGCCCTGGCTACAGTGCTGAGTTGACAAAGAGCAAAGAGCAACAAGCTAACGCTAACGAACATGCTTGAAGATTATTCATAGTATATGGTAGGATGAGTTTGTCATTGGTAGCTCCACTTTGGCCTAAATCCAAAGTTAAGTATTGTGGTTGTGTGTTAAATGAAAATGGGATGGACCAGTGCTCATCTAAGAAGTTCATGACATAAAGATCCAATCATACAAGCACTCTGGTCCCAAGAGAAATGAGACTAGATGTGTCCAGATCTGGCATACTCATTGTAACCAGGCTCACTGTTTTCATCCCAGTAGATAACCTTCCACATCCCTAGATTTACAATGTAAAACTGGTAAGTGCAATGATAACTGGTTAGCTTACCTGTTATCCTTTAGTTCCAGGCAGACAGTCTGGCAGGGAAGGTGGAGAAGGGAAGCCATGTGGTGCCCCAGCAGAAAAAGAACTAGAGCAGGGGAGGCAAAATACAGCCTGTGGGCTGGATCTGACCTGCCAGGCCATTCTATCCAGCCCGTGGGGCCCCTAAAAAATTTAGAAAATATTTATCTGCTGGCTGCCTGTCAAGGACGACAGAAGCCAAGGGCAGAAAGACCCAGGGGGAGTTGTCAGCAAGACCCAGCAGCCAAGCCCAGCCTGGCCCCACACCCCCAGCCATTTCCCTGTCCCCGCACTGCTCCAGCACCATGTGGCTCCAAGCTGCATCTTGGGACTGTAGGAGCACAGGGTACCCCAGGGGTGTCTGTTTGTGGGGTGTGCATGTGGGACTCACTCTACCATACATGTGCACCCACACCCACCCTCGCACTGTCGTACATGCAGACCCCCACACCCCACATATCCATACCCACATTCTCCCTCACCCACCTATCCACCTGCCACTTACACACCCAGAGCCCCCCACAAACCTATACCCTGCCCCACAATATATACAAGAGTAAAAGTTCATGTTCAGCTATTATATACAATCACCTCTATATATACTACACAAACACATGTAAACCAGGACAAATACTTCTTTAAATAAAATTAATGAATGTTTTAGATGTTTGCTTTTTAGTATATAATTTGGTATTTTTCTGGCTCCAAGATTGCAAAACCTCTTGCTGAAAGGAGTACTTCCAGGGGCAAGGGGAGGGACTTCTGGTGGCAAAGGTCAGGGGTTCAGGGACAGGACTTTCAGTCACAAGATGGTGACCAAGTGGTGGGGTATCTGTCAAGAGGACAGATTACCTGTTCAGCTCTCAACAGTTTCCCAAAACTTGGTAAGTGGCCCTCCACCTGAAATAATTGCCCGCCCCTGTATAGAGCAACTCTTCTGTTAAAAAGAACTCAAAGATCACAACAGGTCTGAATGGTTTTGACACTGTGGGCTCCTATTTGCAAATTTTGGGCTTATCTTGCAAATCACATGTGGGTATCTGCACACTTAACTTCTCCTATTGAGGCACCCTGTGGCAACCTTAAAAGAATACTATTGCACCCTGGTTAGGAATCACTGATTTAAGAAGATTGGTGATAATTACCGGCCAAGGGAGAAGTCTCTTTTTGTTCCTGCTCATGCGTCAATAGTATTTCCAAGGGCCTTTCCAAACTTTAACTTTCCTTAGAGGGGAAATAGAAAGAGCTGGCTGCAACAGTGCAGCTATTTTCTCACTCCTGCTAAAAGGGATTATACCTCTTAATTTCTCTTGGTACAGCACACAAAAGACCCAATAATTCTTGAGAGAAACATGTTGAAGCAGAGGACTTGCTAGTCATCCACCAGAATTAGTTCTACAGAGCAGACTCCACCACTGCAAAGAAACAGGGCAGTGTACAAATCACAAATATTAGGACACAGCATGGGAAAAGAGGCACTTCTGTGGTAGTCTTGCACCAGTACAGGTAAACCCAAGGATCAGAATGAGTTGAACCTGGAACCATATGCAGGCAGGGCTCGATGCAGAAGTAGTATACTGGTACAGCAAGCAGCTCCTGGATGAATTTTTAAAGATAGATAGGACTATTTGGGGTTGGGCCTCCAGGCCCCAAGTAAGTTTCACTACTTACCCTTAACATGACTTACAGTCTTGTGACAAAATCTAGATAGAATTCACCACTCCCATTGGTAGGACCAGTAATTAGTCAGTCACTGCTGAAGATGTGGGTCTAAATATTAACGTGCGAGCATCCAGCCATTGACAGTTGTTCAGTACCTGGTATTTTCTGCCCATGTCACTACTAACATATGGAAAGTCACTTTCAGTCTCTATTAAATTAATGGGACTCATTGTCTGTTAGTGGAAAACATTTTCTCCAGCTTTTTTTTTTTTAAATAGTTTTTTGCACTATTAATAAAATATTGCCACCATCCCCTTCAGTAGAAACTCATCAGTGGTACACTTGATCCATGTCTATAGTCCGGAACAGCTAGCACTTCTTTGCAGTAGCTGGTGAAAAAGAGTAACTACCTCTTAATAGCAACATTCCCCATGTTCAGATGACATTTCCTGCCACTGTAGCATATTGATGCCTTAACAAGCAGCAACTATTTTGTTAGCTATAGCAGGGTTTAGGAAGCTGGCTTGTCCACTGCACTCACCTAAAGGCAAGGGACATAAAAGGAGGCACCTAGGTCTAAAATGCAGGTCCTCATGGTTCTTGCTTGGCTGTCACCAATGTCAGGAGACATGCAAGATGATAAGGGAGACACCTTAATTTTGGTCAGTAAAGTTCCCAAGATGGTCACACCTAACCTATTAGCATTCGCTAACAGGTATGCCCCTCCCTGTTGTCACCTCTTGGGCTTTATACAAGCCAGTAGGAAGTGGTGAATTCTTAATAAATTTCTAGTTAGAGTACAGCCCTCAGGTTTGTGTGTCTCCTGCATGAATAAATATAAAACATCTTCCAGAAAGCTCCAGGAGAGCATTTAACAGCAAGTCTCACTCTGCAGGGAGTAGCATCACTGATGACATTACCTTGTCTTTTGGCTGGATTATACTCATTTCCATAGATCCTGTTCTAAGGCACCTAACTCCTTGTGAATGAGGAACCGAGCACAGGGATGTAGAGTCCCCTAGATGGTAAAGGGGCACCCCTCTCTAGTTGCTGCTTTCCAGACTAGTCTGTAGTTACTGTCTTCAGTTCTGTTCCTAGATGTATGACCTTGGCTTTCAGTTGCATTAAAATCATGTTGAGTAGGCTGTATCATTTGCCAGTACACTGATCTTTGGGGCATCTGGAGATTTTCAGCAGCATGTGTCCAACTTCTTGATGAAATGTTGAACAGTAACTTTCATTAGCACTTCACTGATCCTCTGTTGACACCAACTGGGCCATGTCACTCTTTATCCATATAATGCCAGGGGTGGGCAATTATTTTGGGTGGAGGGCTGCTTACCGAGTTTTGGCAAGCTGTTGAGGGCCGCATGGGTAGCCCTGCCCCTTGACAGGTTCCCTGCCCCCTGGTTGCTATCTTGCAACCAGAAGTTCCTCTCCCCCCAACCCCTGGCCTTTAACCCCAGAAGTCCCTCCCCTT